AACATCTTTAAAACATTTTTTTTTTGAGACAGTCTTATTCTGTCACCCAGGCTGGAGTGCAGTGGTGCAGTCATGGCTCACTATAGCCTCAGCCTCCTTGGTTCAAGCAATCCTCCTGCCTCAGCCTCCCGAGTAGCTGAGACTATGGGTGCATGTCATCACACCCGGCTAATTAAAAAAATTTTTTTTTGAGAGATAGGGTCTCACTGTGTTGCCCAGGCTGGTCTCAAGCTGCTGGGCTCAAGCAATCCTCCTGTCTCAGCCTCCCAAAGTGTTGGGATTACAGACATGAGCCACTGCACCTGGCAGGTGCCAATATCTTGCATTTGAATATATCTTGCTATTTTCAAAGTACATTTCTAGCTGTTATGTCATTATCAATGATGTCAATCAGAACTTGTAATTTATCCAGTGCTTTATGTCATATCTGTAGTTTAATTTATAGTGCCTAGGCAACTTTTTCAATAACTGCTTAAATCTTGTTAAAATATATCTATGTATCAATTTATAGATATACACATGTATTAGTCCATTCTCAGACTGCTATAAAGAACAACCTGAAACTGGGTATTTTATAAAGGAAGGAGGTTTAATTGACTCACAGTTCCACATGGCTGGGAAAGCCTCAGGAAACTTACAATTGTGGTGGAAAGCAAGAGGGAAGCAAAGCCATGTTTTTACATGGTGGCAGGCGAGAGTGAGCGGCGAGTGAAGGGGGAAGAGCTCCTTGTAAAACTACTGGATCTGGCCAGGTGGGACGGCTCGTGCCTGTAATCTCAGTACTCTGGGAGGCCAAGCTGGGTGGATCACCTGAGGTCAGGAGTTCGAGATCAGCCTGACCAACATGGTGAAACCCTGTCTTTATTAAAAATACAAAAATTAGCAGGACATGGTGGCATGCACCTGTAGTCCCAGCTACTTGGGAGGCTGAGGCAGGAGAATTGCTTGAATCTGGGAGGTGGAGGTTGCAGTGAACCAAGATCATATCACTGCACTCCAGGCTGGGTGGCAGAGTGAGACTGAGACACCGTCTCAAAAAAACAAACAAACAAAAAACCTATCAGATCTCATAAGAACTCACTATTATGAGAACAGCATGGGGAAACTGCCCCCATAATCCAATCACCCCCCACCCAGTCTCTCCCTTGACACATGGGGATTACAATTTGAGATGAAATTTGGGTGGGAACACAAAGCCAAAACATATCAATACATATAAATAAATACGTCATAATTTAAAATAATTTTAAAGAATATTTGCAGAGATAGCATTCCTGTGTAATAATGGTTCTGAACCTGAGGCAATTTGTGTCCCTTCCCTAACCCAGAACACTTGGAACTATACAGAGGTATTTACTGTTGGGTTTCACTATTTGGCCAGGTAGGGGGTTATGGTGAAAGGGACATACTGCTGGCATGTGCAGGCCAGAGATGCTGGCAAACTTCCTGCAAAGCATAGGATGGTTCCCTCAGCAATGAGGTGACCCCAAATGTCGAGGCTGTGCAAGCCTGCTCTGGCTCCTTCACCCAGTTCCCCTAATGCTATTATTAGACCTAACCACGATGCATCCATTACAAGAGATTAGATCTTCTCCTCCTTTGTCTCCCCAACTCTGTGTTCCTCAGTCTTTCTTATTTTTCATGACCTTAATGCTTCTGAAGAGGGCTTGTTGGGTATTTCGTAAAAGTTCTCAACTGGATATTGTCTGCTGTTTTCTCATAATTTAGTCAGAACATAGGGATTATTAGAGAAGAAAATCAGGTGAAGTGCCCATCTCAGCATATGGTGTTAGGGTCCCTGATGTACTCAAGACATCACTGTTGAGTTCACCTTGATCCCTTGAATTATGTGGTGCCTGCCAAGTTTCTCTTTCTAAACCATAACTGTTAGAAGGGAATCTCTAAACTCTTATACTCAGGGAGGGGACTTAAGCTTCACTCCTGGAGGTAGGAGTGTCAAGCAATTTATGGACCTGTGTTATCACACACTCACTATTATATTTTAATATAACTGACAGCTGAGATGCTTCTTGTGGAAAGTAGCTTTGGGGTCAATGCCCACAAAAACCCACATCAAATGAGCAAGGCAGCATTTCCAAGAACTAATAATTCTATAAATTCTAAAGCTATACAAAGAATAAAATTTCTAAAAGTGAAATAACTCACAAGAAGAAAGTAATATGAGGCCCAAATAAATGAATGAATGAGTAATTCCCAGCTCTTGCTGAGTAACTCTAGATTGCTGTTAGAGAATTGTTGGCAGGAAGTAGGCAAGTGGAGTCTGAAAATAAACGTCGAAGATTTAGAAGTCTTTCTCGCCTCGGCATCCAGAAATGTCGAGGGTTTGTTTTGGAGCTATATTAATGACTGGAGAGTGCTGTGGCCTTTAGAGGGTGGGGATTGGAAATAATCAATGTTGTCTAAGGCTCAGGACGGTCCCACATAACAAGGAATATCCTACCCCAAATGCCAAAAGTGTCACCAATGAGGCACACTAAGCCCAAGCCCCTTCTTGTACCTCATTCACATTGCAATGCCTTGTCAATCCCAGAGATGAGGGAGCGGAAAATTTGAGACTAAAAGCTAGACTTTTAGAGCTGCAGTCCAGAACTTTTTATGTATAACCCAAACTGGCTCCATTGAAAATGTAAGGATTAATATTTTCAGCAACAATTTAAATCTCGTGGGAATCTAAGTAGATAAAATATCTTCATTTTATTTGTGAGGTACTCTATTAAAGTATGAGTTGCCACCAAAGAAAACACTGAAACATTTGATGAACTTGCATACCATAGTAAGAGAGTGTCATTCCTTGGTGACTGGGGTGAGGAGAGTATTTGGCGTCCCAGTTGGGTTGAGAGAGTTTAAAGCATCCCTCCCTATTTTTCTTTATAGCGCTTGCCTTCCTGCCCTCTACCAGTGTGCAGTGTATGCATTTATTTACTTGTTTATCTTCTGTCTCCAACCCCTTAGAAAGCAAGCTCCATGAGAAGGAAATCTGCTTTAGTTTACGGCTATATTCTATGACTCTCTAATGGGGAATACCATGTAATTCATGTTTGAACAGTATTTAAAGAGGCTTTAGATAAAAATAACAATATGGGTAAGGCATCCAAATTACCTCTTACCTGGTTTCTGGCCTCCTCTATTTTGCCAGAAATATTATTTTGTATTTCTTTTTATATAATTTATGATGAAATAGTTATATTAAACTTAATACATAATATATTATACTAATATTTCAAAATAGCTCACTTTTATCCATATTTTAATTTTTATTTAATGAACAATTGCTATATAAACATATAGAAATAAAATATAAACATGAATTAAATTATAAGCACTATAATTATGTAATAAATTATTTGAACAAATGGCATTGTGCTACACAAAATACTCTACTTCTAATCTTTTTCATTTGAAAGTGCTTTGTTGAGATTTATGCTTTTTAAAAAAAAAATGCAGCTCTTAGCTCAGTGGTTGCCACCAGTAGGTGACATTGTCATTCAGGGGATATTTGGCAATTCCTAGAGCCATTTCTGTTTGTTTGTTTGTGTTTTGAGACAGAGTCTCGCTCTGCCACCCAGGCTGGAGTGCAGCAGCACAATCTCAGCTCACTGCAACAACCTCCACTTCCCAGGTTCAAGTGATTTTCCTGCCTCAGCCTCTTGAGTAACTGGGATTACAGGCGTGAGACACCACACCCGGCTAATTTTTGCATTTTTAGTCGAGACAGGATTTCACTATGTTACCCAGGCTGGTCTCGAAGTCCTGGCCTCAAGTGATCCGCCTGCCTTGGCCTCCCAAATTGCAGGGATTACAGGCTGGAAGCCATTTTTGATTGTCACAACTGTTGGTAGTCTTAATGGTCTCTGGTAGACAGATGCTAGGTTTGCTCTTAAACATTATACAATGCACAAAGTATCCTCACAACATAGAGTTATCTGGCCTGATTGTGCTGATGTTGAGAAACCCTGGGCTATTTCTTTCCTTTATTTGTTTTGAAACAGAGTCTCATTCTATAACCCAGGCTGGAGTGCAGTGTCATGATCTCAGCTCACTGCAACCTGGGCTGGTCTCAGACTCCTAAACTCAGTGATCTGCCCGCCTCAGCCTCCCAAAGGGCTGCGATTACAGGTCTGAGACACCGCACCTGGCTTCTTTCCTTTAATCTGTAGAACAGTATCCCCTCGACAGCATGTACCATATTTATTTTATCCATTCCCGTCCTGATGGACATTTGGGTTGTTCCAATTCTCTGCTGTGATGACAAGTGCCGCAAAGAACATCCTAACCAGTGTCTGCGTATGTGTGCCACAGGGTTTCTGGTAGCTGTGTTTTCTGTTCTAGGAATCACTTTCAAATGTCACTCCAGAGTGGCTGGACTCATTGCTTCCACAGAATCACCTGGGATTCCAATTCCATGTGTCTTTACCAGCACTTGGTATTATTTAACTTTAACATTGTTGCCAAATTTGAAGTTTAAAATAATAGATTATTTGTACAATTTTGCATTTCCTGATTGCTAGTAAGACTAGACCACAGGAATCATTCACACCCCAAATATTCTAGAAAACTGGTGAAAATTTTTTTTGTCAAGCATGAGCCACTTTATTTGGTTTGTTCTTACATCTTTGATGTATATTGTAAAACCGCACATTTCAGAGGACTGGCTTGCCTGTTTCCGCCAGTAGAGGTCACTGTCCCTCAGTGGTTCTCCACCAGTATGACTTTTGACCTGTCTACTCTCCCAGGGATTATTTGGCAAGGCCTGGAGCCATTTTTGCTAGTCAGGACTGTGAGTGTGCTGCTGGCCCCTAGAGGTGAGAGGCCAGGGATGTTGCTAAGGCCTTGCAAGGCACAGGACAGCGACCCCCTCCCCGCTCCCCTCTCCCCTCTCCCCTCCCCCCATCAACAAGAAAGAACTATCTGGCCCAAGTAATAGTGCCAAGCTGGAGAAACCACGGTATTATCTTTGAAAGAAAGACTATGACAATCTCTATGGTAATAAAGTCACCTATTAACAATGACATATTTTATTGCAGAAACTAGGGAGAAGCATGCCTTCTGTCCCCAGGGAGAAGGCAGGAGTGAATTGGCAGGGGAAAGGGAAGGGTTTTGGGGGAGAGGGGAGGTGGGCCTGGGGCTCGCAGAGTGGTCGGCTGAAGCAGTGGGAAGTGCCCTGGTGGGGCCGGTGGCTGGTGTGGGTGTGGAACTGGGGTCAGCAGGCTGAAGGTGCTGAGGGCTGGAGGCTCAGGAGGTGGTGGCAGGGGCCTGGCTCTCGGAGCAGGGCAGCAAGCTGGGTGTGCTGAGGCGCATGGCCCCCAGGTGACACTCCTTCCGGGTGCAGGCAAGCCTGAGGTGTCGGGGCAGTGCTGGCCACAGGCCCAGCGCTCCTGTGGTGGCTCTGCGACTGGGCCTCTGGCGGCCACACTTACTGCAGTGGGGCAGGCGCCCGCCAGGGAGAAGTGAGACGATGCTGCATGTCTTCGGAGACTGCTGGCTCCAAGTGGGGCATCTTCTCACCAGCCCAGATCTGGGCACAAAGGCACAGGCCACTCCGTTTCTCATCACAGCCTTGAAGAAAGATGGCCTGGGTGCCAGGTTACCTCTGCGCTCCGGCGGGGCGATTTTCATGGTCACCAGGCTGTGGACAGGCTGGGGGTGGCGGGCATTCCAAAGCCACCCCTTCACGTAGGCCGGGTGAGTCTGGGAGAAATCGGGCCAGACGTTGCTCAGCAGCTGCAGCCTGTTGGGAAAGCGCCTCCAGGCCTCGGGGACCATCTGTCTCCGGATGCGGGTGTAGTCCCAGCCTGGAGGAGCGGTGCGGAGGGGCCGGGTGCTGACCCAGTGGTTCCCATGGAAGTAGATGACCTTGCACTGCTCCTGGGCCTGGGACCAGATCAAGGGTCTGGACCGCGGGGAACAGTGCTTCCGGGTCGGGCGCGGCTTCTGGGCCCAGGGCCAGCCCAGGAAGCGGCTCAGGTAGTTGCCCATGAGAGCGGGGCAGTGGGTCGGGCCTTTCAGTAGACACTGGGCTGCCAGAAGTTTCAGAAATCTGTGGTCAGGGCTCAGTGACCAGTGACCGTTGGCGCAGAATGTCTGAAAGCTCACGAGGCGCCGTGTGCAGGGTAGGTCTGGCCACGAGGTGTCGCACGGGGCAGAGGCCACGCCCACACCAGAGCCTCATGGGGTGTAGATACAGAGGGGGTGGGTGGCGCCCCATGCCTTCTGGAGGACTAAGACAGCTCAAGCCTCGGTCCTTCCCACTGATGGTCCCAGGCACTTAGCTCTGGGCAGAGGGGCCTGGCAGCTGCCTGTACTTTTGAACCTGACATTTAAAGGCAGAACATAGAAGAATTTCTGCCAGGTCCTGAAAAGTGCAGATACCTGTTGACAGAAGGGTGCTCTCTTTGATCTGTGTGAAAATGATCACAATACACTTGGATGCTCTAAAAAAATCCTCTACTCATATCCGGTTCTTCTAGGATGGATGTAAATGTTGCTTTTTGCAATTTTGCTCTTATGAAAATGGTGAAAGCCATCAGGATTTATGTTTTAGTACCTGTAATGCTGGCTTTATGTTGACCCTCATATAATTTTCAGTGTTCATACATCCACATATAAACAATCTTCTCTGAACACTAAGGCCATTTCTGTCCTTCCATTTCTATTGGTAATCCTGGAGTAGAGTGAAGCACATTTTCCACTAATAGCTGAAAAGATCTAACTTCAAAAACAAAGAATCCAAAGGCTGTTTAGAAATTGTAGTGCATAAGTTTGGAGTCTGTTCAAGGTGGTGTGAAACAATCTTTTTTTGAGGACACTTCCCTCAAGAGCATGTGCAGAAGGAACATATTGAGCCTCTGGAATCCCAGAATTGGGAAGAGACAAAAAAGTCAGTAACCAGTTGAAGATCGGGTAACAGATCTGGTCCAGACTGAGGCAGATGGGTGAATAGTAAAGACACTAAATAGAGCTTAATGAGGAAGAACCTTTAAATGCTTTTTGAGGTCAGAGGGGGCCAAGTGTTTTGCAATGCAGGGTTGGGGTCAGCCAGCAGTTGCGGGGGGAATGAGATCCCTAACCTTCTCCTCTCACTGATGAATTCCTTTGTTTTGCCTGACTCCTTATTTATGGAATGATTTCTAGGTATATGATTTTGAAAACCTAGAGATATTCTTATGGTATAATTTTCTTCTTAAGACAATTATCATAATGATTGAAATGACTTTTCATTCATATCTATTATGTCTGAAGATAATGGCATCAGAGTGGGTATAGATTTCTTTTCTTTTGAGACAGTTTCGGTCTTGTTGCCCAGGTTGGAGTGCAATGGTGTGATCTCTGCTCACTGCAACCTCTGCCTCTCGGGTTCAAGTGATTCTCCTGCCTTAGCCTCCCACGTAGCTGGGATTACAGATGCCCACCACCACACCCAGCCAATTTTTGTATTTTTAACAGAGACAGGTTTTCACTATTTTGGCAAGGCTGGTCTTGAACTCCTAACATCAGATGATCTGCCCGCCTTGGCCTCCCAAAGTGCTGGGATTACAGCGTGAGTCACTGCACCCGGCCTAGACTTCTTATAATGTATTTTTCTTTTCAGTGTCTATAGAATTCCCCATATCCTTTAAAAAATACAAGCCAGTGGTTATTATTCTGTTTGTGGCTAAAGACTCTCTGACAAACCACAGTTTTGTCCTGGTGAGGTATAGGCAGTTATAAGCAAATCGCCACTAAATATGCCTTCTACTGATTAATTAAGGTGTTGATTAGTTAAAAACCATTCTCACAGACATTGAAGATGTCAGTTTCTTCTTTTCATACACCAAGAGGTAAAGCATTTCAATGGCTAGTTGATATTAGGGATTAGTGTATATCTGGTGTTCAATAAGGGGTGAGTTTGCAATGGAGAGGGAAGAATGTCTGGAGACATTTTTGGTCGTCATGACCTGGGGAGTTGGTACTATAGGCAGCCAGTGAGTTGAGGCCAGCGATGTAACTAAACATCCTCCAATGCACAGGACAGTCCTCACAACCAAGAATGATCTGTCCTGAATGTCAGTGGTGCTGAGGTTGAGACCCTTCACCCAGCTTCCTCTAATGTTATCTTATGTAATCATGATGCATTTATCAAACTAAGAAATTAACATTGGGTCAATACTATTAAGTAAACTCCAGACTTTAGATCACCCCAGTTTTCCTACTTGTATCCTTTGTTCCAGAACCTACTCCTCCTTGGTCTGTTTCACTCTTGAGTTTTTCTGCCTTGTTTTTCATGACCTTGATCCTTTTGAAGAGGGCTGGTTAGGTATTTTGTAGAAGTCCTTTTTCATTTTGGTTTTGTCTTTTCTCAAGATTTAGATGGCGGATACAAATTTTGGAGGAGGAATGCCACAGAGGTGACTGGTATTTAGGTTGTTTGCAAACAATGGTGCAAAGAATAACTATGCATATGTATTATTGTTTAGGTCTGCAGTTTATGTGTAGGATAAATTCTGTTTGGTAAATTACACTCTGATAGCTATAATACTAGTACTAACAGCGTTTTATCTTCCTTTGATATTATAATTAACTGTTAGTAAAACAACATACTTTTTAGTTTATTAGATCTTTATTCATGTGTCACTACCACCTACCAGTAACACATGAGGCTGCCCATGCTCCACACTTGTACCAGCACTGTGGGCAATAAAATTTTGGGATTTCTGCTAATTTGATAAGTGAAAATTCGCATTTCAGTGTAGTTTCATCTTGTTTCACTGCTTCATTCGGCAAGGTTGAAAATTTTTTCACATGGTTTTGGGCTTCTTGTTTTGTTAACTGTAAACTGTCTGTTTATACCATTTGCTGTTGATTATTTAAAAACTAATTTCTAGAAACTCTTTACATATTAGGGCAATTAACTCTGTTTTGTTCACTATAATGTCTCAAACACCTAGAAGAGTAGCTGGCATATAGTAGGCATTCAATAAACAGTAGCTAAATGAGTGAATAGAATTGCAAATGTTTTCCCTATTTGTCCTCTATCTTTTGTTTATGGTTATTTTCATCAGAAAGGATTTAAAAATTTTTGTATGCAGTTTAATTGCTAGTTGTTTTCTTGATTACTTCTGGGTTTGATTTATAGTTAGAAAAGCTTCCTCCATTTGGATGTATGAAAGAATCTTCCTATGCTTATTCTTGTACTTTTATGGCATTTTTTTACCTTTAAGGTTTTGTTCCATCTGGAATATATTTTTGTCAGGATTGAACGATGGATCCAACTCTTTCTCCTAAATGTCTGCTCAGTTGTCCCGCAATACCATTTACTGGATTTATCTTTTCCTGCATTGAGCTGAGATGCTATCTTTATCATAAAGTAAATTCTCATGTATTTGGCCATTTTTCTGAACAATTTTCTTCACTTGATTTATCTTTCTATTCATGTGCTAGTATCATACTATTTAATTATTGTGGCTTTAAAGTCTTATGGGGCTAATCATTCTTTATTTTCTCCTTTAGAATTTTTCTAGCTATTCATGAGGTGACTGGTATTTAGGTTGTTTGCAAACAATGGTGCAACTCTAGAAGTACTATATCTAGTTTTAAAATTCTGTTGGTATTTTTATTAAAACCATATTAAATTTATGGAATCACAACTTAAGGAGAATTGACATCAAAGATGCCTTTGTGGTATTTTCCTATTTAAAAACAGGGTATGAATTTTATAAATTTAAGTCTTCTGTGTCCCTCAGAAATGTTTTATAGTTTTCTTGTTAACATTTTATGTTGTTTTTTCACAGTATTTTAGTTTCTATTTCTTCTGTTATGTCTTCTAATTGTGAGTTATATATGTCAAAGGAATTGATTTCTATAGATTAACATGGTACTCTACTAATTGCTGAATTATCTTATCTTTGTAGGAGTGTTTAGTGTTTTTCTAATGTTCTTTATCTTTTTTGGTCTAACCTTATTGGCTCCTGCCAGAGGTTAATTCAATTAAATTTAATATTTAGTATGCTAATAAGAATGCAGTTAATGATATCCTTTCCACATTAAACACACACTTTATTTTTGAGCTGAGATAAATCTACTTTATCCAGTTAGGGAATTCTCCATTTCTGTTCTATTAAAACATTTTTTTGAAGAGATGGTGAGTTTTATCTAATGTATTTTGGGAAATCTACGGAAATGGTCATATATTTTTTCACTTTAGATTTGTTGATGGGATGAAATCCATTAATCGTATGTATATAATTATTAGTACTGAACAATTTTTGGATTATTCGAATAAACCCTACCTGGACAAAGTATATATTTCTTCTAAAGCACTGCTAAATTCTATATCTAGTATTTTATTTAGCTTTTTTTTGTTAAATATTTTTCAGAGATATTGGCCTATTGTTACCTTTTTGGGTAGAATGGTCTAATCTATGATGGGTTTTAGTATCACTGTTATCCTAGCTGCATAAAAAAGAGGTTGGAAGCTTTTAGTCAATAAAAATCCAATATGAACAAGTAAACACAGTTATTATTACAGTTTAGCTTACGAATTAACCAGGATTTTGTGTGCTGATGTAGTAACCACCACTTAGACTTAGTTTCTAAGAGAAAAATAAATCACAAGTTTCAAACGACTGACTTACATGAAAATTTCTGGATGAATATTGTTGGATTCTGTCTTTATCCTGAGATTCTATAGCAAAACTTCCTTAAGGATTTTAAAGGATTTTGAATACACCCATTTCCAGCCTTCCTTTTTTGATTTTAAAGGGTCGTAATTTTTATAGAGAATCTACACAATGCATGTATAATAAAAACATATGTCACTGTCAAATATAGATATAAAAAGCTTATGTTCTTCTATGTTTTAACTCCTCTCTAGCTAATTTGAAATATCTCTAAATTCATGTCCAAACTGAGACAAGACGTTGGTACACTTCAATAAAAATGTATAAGCATTACAAGATGTTAAAACTGATGCCACAGTCTGAGCCCAGCCTTGTTTTAAAGGGGGAAGACGAGGATTTCCTTAGATGAAAATTGTGGAGAGAACGTACCTGACCATGATCAACCTCTACTGGCTGCTTCTTAATGATCCAGGTGACAGACTCAGTCAGGGGTGGACAAGAGTGATACTGGATCTACTTGTGTCTAGTAATCTAGACAGATGGGCACCAAGCAGGAAGTGCCAAACGATTCAAATTCCATGAGAGCGCCCTGGCCAAGAGACTGGGTCACCGAGTCATTATCTAGAAGTGAAAACCACTCAGGAATCCGACGACGAGGTGATGGTTCTCAGGGAGTATCTGGAGATCAGCAGTGGTCCAGAGGAGCTCCAGGCCCTTCTGGGTAGCTACCTGAAGAATCGCTTCTTAGGATGGAATCATGCCTAGGCTTTGTTTCTGCAATTAACTGTGTAGTTTTTATATTCTCCAGCGGGAAAACAGCCAAAACCATTTGATCTCTCAATTCTAGTGAGGATCCAGCAGATAATCTCCTCAGTATTGCTGGGAGGTTTTAGACAGTGGCCAGTGCACAAAGAAGGAGGCTTCACTTCTTTAAGGGAGACTGAGAATTGTCCTTTAAAAATGAAATGCAGAAAAACAAATAACCCCATTAAAAAATGGGCAAAGGACATGAACAGATACTTCTCAAGACATACAAGTGGCAAACAAACATGAAAAATGCCCATGATCACTAATCATCAGAAAAGTGTAAATCAAAACCACAATGAGATACCATCTTACAACAATCAGAATGGCGATTATTATCAAAATAAAAACAACAGATGTTGGTGAGGCTGTGGAAAAAAAGGGAATGCATATACACTGTTGATGGGAATATAAATTAGTTCAGCCACTGTGGAAAGCAGTTTGGACATTTCTCAAAGAACTAAAAACAAAGCTACCATTCAATGCAGCAGTACCATTATTGGGTATAAATCCAGAGGAAAATAAATCATTCTGCCAAAAAGACACATGTACTCATATGTTCATTGTCACACTATTCACAATAGTGAAGACATGGAATCAACGTAAGTGCCCATCAATGGTGGACTGGATAAAGAAAATGTGGTAATATATGCACTATGGAATACTACACAGTCATAAAAAATGAAATCATGTCCTTTGCAGCAACATGGATGCAGCTAGACGCCACCATCCTAAGCGAATTAATGCAGGAACAGAAAACCAAATGCTGCATGTTCTTGAGAGAACGAAACATTGAGCACATAGATAAAGATGGGAACAACAGACACTGGAGATTACTGAAGTGGGGACTGGGTTTAAAAAACTACCCACTGGGTACTGTGCTCATTACCTGAGTGATGGGATCCATACCCCAAACTTTAGCATCATGCAACATATTTAGGTAACGAACCTGTACATGGTACCCCCATATGTAAAATAAAAGTTGATAGAAACAAACAGATAATGAAATGCAGATCAGGAGGAGCCGAAGTCCTGTACTAAAAGGGGAGAGAGGGAAAAAGAGGGAAATGGAGAGAAAAAGAGAGGGGAAGAGGTGGGGACCATAGGAAATATGAATTAAAAAGACCATCTGGTGATTACCTAAAAACAAATCAGTCTGAAACCGCTTACACTGGCAATTTAGAATGTTACAAACATTGCTGAATTAAACTGGACAGAGAACACATGAGCAGGCTGTCCAAAGCTGTGCCTGCACTCCGCAGGCAAAGGTGCCCCTGCTCCATGCACCTCCCTGAGCCTTTCTAAGCCTTGGCCCACAGGGACTTTGTAGGCTGAAGCTCTTCAAACAGGCGACAGCACATGAAAGCCAGGCTTTCGGTGCAGGCCTGTAAGTCCTCAAGGGCATATCCCAGGAGCCTCAGTATAATAAAGCATGTTTTCTATTAATAGCTTTTGTATTTAATGCTTTGACATCTGGGTACTTGTTGACACCATAAGGACTGTCCCTCCCAAGGTTGGCTAATTCCTAGAGAGAAGAGATAATTGCAAGAGCGCCTTTCCTGTGCAACCCAGAGCTTATAGCTCCACCATCTCCTTTATCAGGCTCTTATACTGGGGCCACTGTTCTCCTGCACCAGTCACTCCATGGTCAGGTAACAGCCAAGTGGAAACAGCCCTCTAGGCCCCAGAACACTCTGAAATGATTCAAACCAGCCAATCCCAAGCCTGCTTACCCTGCCTTGCCTGTTTCTTCCCACTGAAACCACAATAAAAGCTCTTGCCCACATTCTCTCCTCACTTTCTCTGCCTCTTGACCAACCCTGGTGCTTCCCCATGTGGCTCTGTGCGGTGTGCCATGCCTCCAGCTTCTAGGGAATAGCATCAACTTCTTCCTTCATGACTGTCATTCCCATGTCTGCATGTCTTACTATACCTGATTAAAACAAATCCCAGGTACCCTTAAAACACTCACCCTCCACAGTAGACTAAAGCTGGGAGCATGCCGGAAGCCTGTAGCTGCTGAATCTGTAAGAGCTCAGGGGCCCCATGAGAATGTGGTCTGTGCATTTTTAACCCCAGTCCTCTATTAGTTAGCTGTGTGACCTAGCAGGAAAGCACTTAACTTTGTTGAGCTTCACTTTCTTCACCTGAAAAATGGAGACAATAATATTGCCATCAGAGAGTTCTTGGGAAGATAAACTAAGCACTTGGCAAATATGGAGTCACTTAGCACTCATAAATATTAGTTCCCTTCATGAGGATTTGCCAGTTATTTGCCTTAATCTTTCTATTCTGTTTAAAGAATATTCTTCTATTTAAAATATACTCTTTCAAAATTTTTTGAGACACAATCTTGCTCTGTCACGCATGCTGGAGTACAGTGGCGGGATCTCAGCTCACTGCAGCCTCTGCCTCCCAGGTTCAAGTGATCCTGTTGCCTCAGCCTCCCGAGCAGCTGGGACTACAGGTGCCCACCACCACACCCAGCTAATTTTTGTATTTTTAGTAGAGATGGGGTTTCGCAAAGTTGGGCCAGGCTGGTCTTGAACTCCTGGACTCAGGCAATCTGCCCACCTCGGTCTCCCAAAATGCTCGGATTACAGGCAGGAACCACCACACTTGGCCTAAAATACATTAATTTTACACTTTAACCATTATTTACTTATTTGCCTTTATCCTTTTATACTGGTGCTTAAAAATAGATGTATGATACAAGTCACAGAGGTAATTAATTTTCTAGTAGCCATATTTAAAAAGTAAAAAGAAACAGATGAAATCCTTTTTAATATTTTAGTTTATCAAATATATTCAAAATATTATCACTTCAACATGCAATCAATATAAAAATTGAGATGGTTTATATTTTTTCCACATTAATTTTTAAAAATCTGTTGTGTATTTTACACTCAGCACATCTCAATTTGGATGCTACCTCTTCACCAAAAATACTTGATCTACATTTAGATTTCAAAAAATTTATACTTGAAAACATATACACACAAACCCAAGTGGTTCCAAACATTCTTAAAAGTTTTGCTGCTTTTTTTTTTTTGGAGATGGAGTCTTGCTTTGTCGCCCAGGCTGGAGTGGAGTGGCATGATTTTGGCTCACTACAACCTCCGCCTCCTGGGTTCAAGCAATTCTTGTGCCTCAGTCTCTCAAGAAGCTGAGATTACAGGCGCCCACCACCATGCCTGGCTAATTTTTGTATTTTTAGTGGACATGTGTTTTCACCATGTTGGCCAGGCTGGCTTCGAACTCCTGGACTCAAGTGATCCACCTGCTTCAGTCTTCCAAAGAACTGGGATTTCAGGCATGAGCCACCACGCCTGCCCCAAAAGTTTTTCAATAACTGAATCGAATAGCAGTTTTTTAAATTGAAATTTAAATGAATGAGAAGTACATTAAATCCTCATTTTCTAAGTTACACCAGCCACATTTCAAGTGCTCAACTGTCACGTGTGGCTTGTGATCACCATACTGGATGCCACAGTTTCATGCCATTTAAAATATATTCTTAACAATCCTGTATTTCAGGCACTATTTATCTTACCAGTGTATGGATCCTAATATTCTAAGGTAAATAACAGTATTATAATGTTCTATCTCTGCATTCTAGAATACAACCTATCATTTAAAGTTGGTGAGATTTTTTACCTTTAAAAATACTCCTATCACAGCCAAGTTATTTTCTTCCAGTGCTGTATCCTCAAAGTTTTCAAACTTGACTGCATTCCAATGCAGCTGAAACACCATGAAAACAGGGTTAACACGTGACTACACAGGATCTCTCTAGAATAAACGCACAGCTTCAGTCAACCTATGACATTTAAACATGTTTCCTCACCCAAAGTCAAGCCACTAAGAAAAGCATATGACAATCCAAAATGAGATAGAAACAAACATCAGGGAGAAATTTAGGCAAGAACGGCAATTAATATTTATTTGCAATAAAAGGATTGGGAAAAATATAACGTAAAATTCATATAGCAAACGGAGTCACATTTCAGTAAGGGATCAACATTTACTCATTCCCATTCTGATTTGCATCAAATATTAACAGCCAAAATCCATTTATATCTAAAGGAGAGAAAATGTTTATATAGAGACAAATAAATTCTCCTTAGGGGAATTGGACAACAGTTGAAGACAGGCCAGGCATGGTGGCTCACACCTGTAATCCCCGCACTTTGGGAGGCCAAGGCAGGTGGATCAGTTTCGAGGTCAAGAGATCCAAACTAGCCTGGCCAACATGGTGAAAACCCCGTCTCTACTTAAAAAAATATAAAAATGAGCCAGGTGTGGTGGTGGGTGCCTGTAATCCCAGCTTCTCAGGAGGCTAAAGTGGGAGGATAGCTTGAACCCAGGAGGTGTAGGGTGCAGTGAGCTAGCTAAGATTGTACCACTGTACACCAGTCTGAGTGACAGAGCAAGACTTCATCTCAAAAAAAAAAAAAAAAAAAAAGAAAGCAGAATACTGATTGCCAGGAGCTGGAGGGTGAATGGGGCACTACTGTTTAACAGGTAAAGTTTCAGTTTTGCAAGATGAAAGAATTTCTGGAGATAGATGGTGGTGATGATTGTACAATAATGGTAATGTACTTAATATAATACTACTTAACTGTATTCTTTTTTTTTTTTTAGACGGAGTTTTTGCTCTTGTTATCCAGGCTGGAGTGCAATGGTGTGATCTCGGCTCACCGCAACCTCCACCTCCTGGGTTCAGGCAATTCTCCTGCCTCAGCCTCCCGAGTAGCTGGGATTACAGGCACGTGCCACCATGCCCAGCTAATTTTTGTATTTTTAGTAGAGATGGGGTTTCACCATGTTGGCCAGGATGGTCTCGATCTCTTGACCTTGTGATCCACCCGCCTCGGCCTCCCAAAGTGCTGGGATTATAGGCGTGAGCCACTGCGCCCGGCCAACTGTATTCTTAAAAATGGTTAATACGATACATTTCATATTATGTATATTTTACCACAATTTTTTTTTAAATTCCAATGAGTTCCATGCCATTGCTCACAAAGAGGTCAATACTATCATGAAGAGAGTTTGATGTGTCCATGTTAACATGATGCTGTTTAACTCCTTACAAGACCACCAGATCTTGCTCTCACCTGATTTATCTGTAGAATCTTCAAATTCCACAAAGAAAGAGTACCCGTTATTCCAGATGTGGAGGCAGGTGGCTGGGTAATAAGAGATGGTGAGTGGTTTTAAGCTGGGGTCATAAACACTGTCCCTCCACTGGATGTTGATGGGTGTCTGTTGATTGCCCCTAGGAACCAGGTCCACACTCTCCCAGAGTGGATGCACTAGGAGAAAGCAGGTCAGACTTTTATCAAGACTGTCCACTATCTAGCAGCACACATGAGACAATTCCACTTCTGGAGACCCTGTCAAGGCTAATGGAAACTAAGAGCTTTAGCAATTGGCCATTCAAGGCCTTCATCAGTTGACCAAAGCAAAGGGTAAAGACCAATCAGAAAGCACTGTGCAGAGGAACAGCATTCTGCCATCCTGAAAATCCAACTCGTCTCAGTCTGCTTACTAGGCTCACCTAAACCAAGTACAATCAGTCCTGTGATAATAGTAAAATGCATGGAGATTAGTGCCATGTGGAAATAGGGATTCATAAATGAGTTTCTTTTCTTCTTTGAGAATTTCCCAAGCCCTAAGCCCCCAAACTAGCTCTAAATACAAATTAATTCAATTTTCAGTAACAGACTTATTTTCTTTGTTTCCACCCTGCACATTCTAATACATGTAGACTTATTAAAAAAAAAATAAATGAGGGAAGAACTCTGAGAAAGGAAATATTCAATCAAGTATTGTCAGTGTTTAATTGGGTGCCTGGCAGAAATAAAGGCTTGAGTAGCCTGCATCCTGTAGGATGCTCACCCCACATAATTGTGGGTGCTGAGTTGAGTTCACCTCCTACGTAAGCAAACTCTGAGTGCCAGGCAGCCATCCTGCAAAACCTGGGTAGAATATGAACATTGCTAAGGTCCCTGGAGGTTGCAGTGCGGCACAGGGATGTGCAGATTATCTATTAAGGTGTACACATACAATTCAACCCCCACAGGCACTGATGACATTGCTGATGCTGATTTTCTTCCACAGAGTCAAGCACCAGGTCTCTGGAGCCAGCCCCTGTTAAGTATCAGCAGACTTGCTGATAAGACAGATAGGCCTGTTGAGACCCCCTTGTGTGATGAGTAGAACCAGTGTATATCAGTTTGGGGTGGTCCAGTTCCCTGTCCTTTAGAAGCACCATGGATGGGTGGAATCAAGAAAAACAGGAAAACTAGGACAAACATGAATTGAGAGAAATCATTACCAATAATCCTCTGCATCTCACCCCACCACTAAGAATGGGTCTATGGATTTGAGAAATAACTCAGCAGCTCCTACCCAGTCGAATCCCCGGAATACAGCAGGGACACTCTCTTGTTTCCATAAAAAACCAGAAACCTGCTTCTGGTTTACTCTGACAGGGGCGATAGTTCTCCTGCTTCAGTAGCAACCTAAAGATGGAAGTCTAAAATCTTAGCTTTGGCTTTTTATTTTTTTGTGTGTGTGGGAGTAGGCAAAAGTGTCCTGGCAATATAGACAATGAGCTCTCTTGGGAGTGTCCAGACCAGTGGTCTCCATAAGGATAGTGCCTATGGCCCCAGAGGACATTTGGCAATGCCTGGAGACATTTTGGATTGTCACAACTGGAAAAGGGTGCTAGTGCCATCTAGTGGACATATGCCAGGGATGCTGCTAAACATTCTACAAAGCACAGGAGGAAGCCAACACTGTAAAGAATTATCCAGCCCCAAATGTGCCCCAGTTGAGAATCCCAGTCTACAGAAACTCCGAATACTCTTTTTTCCCCCTATTTATTCCTGTAACACAGTATTCTCTTATCGCCAAAGAGATCTGAACCTAATTTTACAAATTAACTTCAACTTTTACTACAGATTAAAGGGTACACATGCAAGTTTGATATATGGAGACACTGAGGCTTGGGGTCCCAATGGTCCTGTCACCCTAGCTAGTGAGCATAGTACCCAACAGGTTGAACCCAATGTTTTTATTTTTCTTAGTATGAAAGAATTCCTTGCAGAAGAATAAGAATTTTCTGTTTTAGGAGCCAAAAATTAAAAATGCATTTGAACTGGCACAATATTTCAATATTGTAATCTGATCAGAATGCAGATTCCTTCTAGAAAGCCCTTGAAAGGCCCTGATTCTATTTTTAAAGATTCCTGACACAAAGAGATTACACCTCTTCGCCTCTGAGACACTCAGACTGTGGTTGATAATTTCAGAATTCACACTCTTCAAAGCCATTCAATGAGGGTCTCCTGTGAAAAACAGGGAAGAACTGGAGGGGTGATCAGGTCCCTAAGATGATGCCTTGGTCACCCTTAATTGTTCCCCATCATATTCATGAAATAGGAAGTATCAACATTCACACCCATTCAAATTCCTCAATTGCTCTTTAATGGCCATAATGCTATGATCAATTTATGCCCTTGAGTTTACAAGTTCAGTTTCCAGAAGGTTTTCTTTCCTCATATTCACCTCCTCCTTTGTAAACAAAGACCATCTAGGTTAGACCATCCAAACCACTGTGGACGGAGGTGGTCCTTGGTCACTATCCTCCAATTGAAGCCAACTTTTTGCCAAGGGCTTGTTTTGCTAATGATAAGATCACACTTTTCTTTTCCTCTCCTCTTCCCTTCTACCATTTTAACAAAAATACAAATAGAATGATTTGTTGGCAATTCTCATACTTTCCTTCAAAACAGGAAGGTGATGACAAAGCATTCTAACAAAGGCTTCATTTTCAGGTTTTTCTTATATGTCGAAAACGAAATTGTGACTATTTCAATCATGGTTTAAGTGAGCAAAGGGCACTCTGTCATTAAAAATGTGTCACTAACCCGTCACTGATGAGCCACAAAACTCCTTCAGATTTCATGATGAGGACGCACTTGGTCTTAGTTCTTATTTATATGCCTAGTCCTGGGTTTGATTTATTTTATGCTTGCACCACCTATTTCTCTAGCCTGTTGTGTGTCCTTGGGCTCTTCAAATGTAGAAAGCTCATTTCTGCCTCAAGCCCCTCAGTTCCTGATTCTCCTCCTCTGCTGGAATCCATTTCCCCTCATTCCACTTGGTGCTGGCTCCTGTTATTGCCTTTTCACCTCCTCTCCTCTTTGACTACCCTCTTATAACATGATAGGACTCTGGTTTTGTCCTTCACAACATTATTACATGGGTATAGTTATATGCACACGTGCTCAGTTATAGGCCTCCCCCACTGCTCTGCAAGCAAGCTGGCTTTCAACTACTACAGTGGATCGAATTAATCAGATGAAGTGTATCACTGAAGAAGTTTGCTTTATTTCCCATTACCCTCATGGATCACAGTATTTTTCTTTAACGATCGTTCAGGTTTATCTCTTCTTCGCCTTGCCCAGACCACTAGCCTAGTTCAGAACTCTATGCCGCAGACTTCATACAAAGCTTCTTGGTCACTTGTCCTCTTTTCTCACTTCCCTGTACCCGCTGAGTTCAGCCATTCAGCAGTTTCCCCAAATTACCAGCTTTGTCAGGGTGCTCCTGTGCTAAAGACAGTACATAAAGTGGAAACTTCTGTGTCCAAGTACCTGTGTTTTTCTATTAGTACACCTCTCACTTATCTAATCATTTCTCCTCATTCTTTCCAAACCCTGGTGTTCCCATGCTGCCCCCTTGGTCAATCCTAAATGAGTGGTGCTGTAAATGTAAAACACCCAACAGGCTTTGAAGATGTGGTACAAAGTAAAGAATGTACACTCGGTAATAATTGTTACATGGATCACATGTTAAAGTAATAATATCCTGGATATACTGAGTTAAATAAAATGTTATTGAAATTAATTTTGCAGATTTTCTTTTCCCCCTTTCTAATGTGACTATTAGAAAACTGAGAATTACATATGTGGCTTGCATTATATGTCTATAGGACAATGTTGCCCTATACCCTCATGTGCTTTTTATCTGGTCCCTTGCTGTGTACTGCCCTTCTTATGAGGGATGTGCTATTTCCTCATGTAACTGAAGACCATCTGTGTAGGCCTTCGCTTTAGTGCAGTGATGGGATACACAGGGACCCTCCGTATGACTTGGCTGAGGATGATCGCAGAATCACAAATTGCCTTGTTAGAGCATCATCAGGACTGTAAAAGGCACTTGGATGCCGAGTCCATTAGCCACAGGATACACAGGATATCCTAAAAGCCCATATTTCCTGGTGGTGAGTTCCAGAGCTAATGGTCAGTCCCAGGCTCCTAATCCTCCCATTGCTTCTCTTGAAAGTTAATGAAAGACAACACAGTCTGAGGCATCCCAGCCTCTATCAGGGGTCCTTAGGAAGATACTGCAAGACAAGCCTTTTAAAACAACTGTCCTCATCTGTACAAACCCCCATGACAAGTTTACCTATATTACAAACCTGCACACATGCTCCTGAACTTAAAATAAAAGTTAAATTAAAAAAAAGTATTGTTCTCCAGGCTTTGGTTCTTCAAAATTAATTGGAAAAATAATAGAACTTTATAACACAGTTCAGTTATAATATAGATCACAGTGCTGTCAAATACAACTTTCTCTATAGATGAAAATGTCCAGTATAGTAAGTTGTAGGTAAGTTTATAGCACATGAGGCTATAAAATGTTAATGCATTTATATTTACATGTAAACACCCACAACGGCTACATTTAATTGTGGCTACATTTTAGACAGAGCCATTCTAGTCCAAGTTATCCTAAGAGGAAATGTTTCTTTGCTTTCTAAAAGTAGAAAGATCATGAACATTAAGAATCATTGGAATAAATATTAAATTTGTACTATTTACATTATAGCTGATACTCTTTATATGTAATTAAATTAAGAATTAACATTATCAAATTAATTTTCCTATGGTCCAAGATCTCATGCCTAAATCTTTTTTTTTTTTTTGAGACTGAGTGTTGCTTTGTCACCAGGCTGGAGTGCAGTGGTGTAATCTCGGCTCACTGCAACCTCCACCTCCCAGGTTCAAGTGATTCCCCTGCCTCAGTCTCCCGAAGAGCTGGGACTACAGGTGCGCGCCACCACGCCTGGCTAATTTTTTGTATTTTAGTAGAGACAGGGTTCACCATGTTGGCCAGGATAATCTTGACCTCCTGACCTCATGATCTGCCTGCCTCAGCCTCCCAAAGTGCTGGGATTACAGGCGTGAGACACCGTGCCCGGCCGCCGAAATCTTTTCATGTGATAATTATGCTAAATTTCACTAGATGATCCACTAAGTGAAACTGATTTTATTTTCATATTGGATAACAGGTATAGGCCTTAATTTTTATCTTGTTATATTACAAGTCCCCAAAGTTAGGACTATCAACAGTTACTATCTGCTACCTGAGTTAACAGCAAACAGCAATCTGAGTTGACAGCTAAAGATTATCTGCAGGGAGCCTTGGGAGCAAAGATACGAGCACAGGGCACAGGGCTGACCTGAAATGCTGCTTTCTGGAATTTGTCACCAACCTCGTACTTTCATTCACTCTTTATTCTGTTTTGCTTCCTCTTAAAATGGTCAGACTTAGACATCTGAGGCAGGCACTGAACCTATGATGATGATAACAATCATAGTACTAGAAAGAAAAGAACATCTGCGTTTCTTTTCTTTCTTTTTCTTTCCTTTTTATTTTTGAGACAGAGTCTCACTCTGTTGCCCAGGCTGGAGTACAGGTTCCGGCTCACTGCAACCTCCGTCACACAGGTTCAAGTGATTCTCCTGCCTCAGCCTCCTGAGTAGCTGAGACTACAGGCCTGCACCAACATGCCTGGCTAATTTTTGTATTTTTAGTAGAGATGAGGTTTCACTATGTTGGCCAGGCTGGTCTCCAACTCCTGACCTCAGGTGATCTGCCCTCCTGGGCCTCCCGGATGAGCCATCGTGCCTGGCCTCACAACTGAGTTTGTAACCCTCAAGAATCTCGGGTCATTCTTGGTCACAGGTGTACACTAACCTTCCACTGGGGTACTGAGCTTTCAGAAACAATGAGAAGTGTATTTACAACTGAGCAGATGAGGGTCCAGAATATAGGAATAGGCCCTGTTCAAAAGCCCAGGGGAACAAAGACCACAATATTCTTCATGGGGCAAACAGGTTGGAACAGTGAAATATACCACAAACAAAATCAAATGTTGACTGGCACCTGTTTTTTCTAGTAAGTTAGAAAGAAGAACACATCATATGATAGAGCTAATTAATCAAGGGAACCCCACCTCCTTGGGGGACCACAGTTTGGTTTCTGTTGGCACTTTTAAAAGCAGCAAACTATCCTAATGACATAGGCTGACTGGACTTTAGGTATTTAACTTTCAACTTTCTGTAAATAAAGACAAACAAACTAAAGATCAAGGCAAAAACCCCACACTCACACAAAACATTAGTAACTAGATAAACATGACTACATTTTTTCCATGTTAAGCCTTAGAATGCACAGTGCCAGGGGTCGGAATAAGCCAGTCTGGGTAGGATGTGAGCACATCCAGCAACCATAACTTTGTTTCAATGAGAAACACAGTCAATGTTGGGAGAAAACAAAATAATACAAATAAAAACCATAATAAAAAATATTTTTGAAGCAGTTTTAAGGCAATGGATCCAGCTAAAACAACAGTATTAATGGAATTCCTGTTCTTCTGTGCACGGAGGTTCTCAGATCCCGAAACAAGCCAATATTTGAAAATTATGTAAATTCATTGTGACAAGTAGAAACTAGATGTTAAAAACTAAAAGATATACTTAGCCAATTCATTAAACACATCTCTCCACCATCACAGACACCTCTCCTGTCATATCAGTGGTTCTCTCCCACGGTCATTTTGTCCTCCCTCCGGGGAACATTTAGCAACGTCTTGATACGTATCTGAATGTGATCATTTGGAGAGTGCTACTGGCAAGAGATCAAGGATGCCATTCAACATCTAGTGAGCAAAGAGCAGCCCCCACACCACAGAATGATCCATCCCCAATGGCCATCGTCCACAGTGCCGAATCCCTGCAACCTCCAGACACGGATAGTACCTTGTATTTCCAGGAGGGGAATGAGATGAGAAAGGCTTGAGGAAGACCATCTGCTGCGTCACATGATCTTCTGTGTTTACAGCAGAGCACACACTTGCAAACCAGTCAGCTGGAATTAACTCTGCAATTCTTAACTCTGGACAGAATATTCTGAAGCATGAAGCCACTGAACTGCTTGCCAACATTCATGGGCAGCTTCCAGCAATTTAAGATTCACAGAAATAATTTGCAGTTTGTGGATCAACCTTAGTAAAAAGACAACGGCTAACAAGAAATAATAAAGAACAGGTTCCAGAATATCTGAAATCTTCTCTAGTTTCTGCATGACATCATTTTAACATTTTAACATTTGCCAAGAAGGAAGGTTCCACATTTATTTTACTGGATAGAGAAACAGTTATTCTCACAGTCCATAAGGCATACAATCTCACACTGGAATGCCAATGACATCACAGCTACAAATGCTTAACACGTGATTTTTATAAAACCAACAAGCCTTTTCTCCTCTCTTTAATTAAATAGTGTACTCACAGGCTTATTTCTGGATTTTGTAGGTGCAAGTATAGAGGCTGCAGGATGGCCTGGGTCTTGGAATCTGGAAGGTTCTCCACAGCAATTTGCATGGAGACACAGGATGAATGACCCTCAGGCTGTTCATCACCAGCATCTTTACCCTGAAACCTTGATCAGTTCCCAAACAACTTGCAGGAATGCAATAACCTAGAGGGAAGAGAGCAAAGGAGCAAAAGCTATAAACAATAGAGACTTAAGATCATGGGAAAACTCTAAGTAGGACAATGTTCAGACCAGTAATACATACCCTTAGGTGGAGGGGAGGGCAAATGGGAGTCAATTATCCCTTTTGTTCCTCAAACTCACTGGTCACCCAAGATGACAAACCCATTTGCTTTCCCTCACATTCACTTGGTGCTCCTACCCACCCATCAGCCACATGGACTTCAGTTCTTCCAATTCCTGTCTTTCCCTCCGGCCTGTGCAGATGCTCTTCCTTTCCTGGACTCTTCCTCCATCTGTGCCTGGTGAATCCCTACCCCCACTTCAGGGGACTGACTCCACCGTCACTTCCTCAAAGCTTCCCCAACCACGTGCTCACCAGGTCAGCCCAGAACCTGCCTCATGGTCACAGTGCTTATGGACAGGAATGTACTTTAAGACTGCATCCTCTCCAGTATCTAAGCCCCGCAGTGGTAGGGACCATGTCTGCCTTGATCAGAGCTGCATCTCTTAGGGACACAGTGCCTCATTCAAAAGGGGTGCTGGGAGTACTAGCCGAGTGACTTGAGCAGGCTCCCTTGGTGACAAAGAAGCTGGTCCTAACTTCAAGAACCAAGAACTGTGCCATGCTGCCAGCACCCTCTGAGACAGTACTAGGGGTCTTTCCTTTTCTCAAACGCCGCCATCACCCATTTGCAGGGGTGTTTATACTTTTAAAACACTTTTAAATACTTCTCCTGAGGAGGGTCTCATATCCCTATCTAAAAGATCCAAAGGACCCCCCAAATCCTTCCTGATCTAAAAGAGGACCCTCCCCGAATATAAACCTCATCTAGTCTCACAGGGCTGGGATTCTGCCAGTTAGCACTTTCATTTCAAACTATATTGTCATTTCTTTTGCTCTGAGCACAGCGGTGGTGCTACAATGCAAAGATGACCAAGGCTTGAACTCTATCTTCCAGGTACCTAATTTCTCCCTTAGGAGCCTCTTGAAATGCACATGGAGGAAGGCCAAGGACAGCAGTACAGACGAAAAGAGCTAATTCACAGCCAATTACTAGCAGGAATGTGCACAAAGAAGGGAGGATGAAGCTTTTCTTACTATGGGTAAGAAAAACACAGAGCAAATCAGTCACAGCAGGGTGTTTTTGCCACCTCAGATTCTGCCTTCTCTTGCCAAAAGAAGGGCTCTCAGCAGTATGGCCATGCTGGGGTGGTGGTGGGGGTTGGGGTAGGTGGGAACAGGTGTCAAAAGGCACAAACATAGGAGTTGAGGGGCACTAAAGTCACATTTCTCTTACAAATCTGAACTTTATTGCTTCATATCATCTTTCCAAGAAGAGTGTAAGATACAAAACCCACATCATGGTCCCCAGTGATGCTGAGCAAGGAGGCAAATACTGTGCTTTCATCCTCCCCTCTGTGTGCACATTCCTGCTAGTAATTGGCTGTGAATCAGCTCCTCTCCTCTGTACTGCTGTCCTGGGCCTTCCTCCTTCTGAGCTAGAGAGAAGGCTACACCTACGTGAAAGGTGGGAGAATGACCTCTGTGTGCACTGTGAAATGAAGCACAGCAGGGACAGTGCCATGAGCCTTGCTCTGCATATGTGTCACTTCTCCACTGTGCGCTGAACTCCGGGAGCCAGAGATGTGCGGCCATTACATTAAAGGGGACTGGTTGGAAGTCAGTGAATCCCATGGAGGTTTCTTATCTCTAGGCCTAACTCCCTACCTGAGGTCTTTAGGCCAATGTATTAGCCTGTAATAAAGTACCACAGACTCGGTAGCTTAAACATTTTTGTTGTCTTGGCTGGGTGCAGTGGCTCACACCTGTAATCCTACCATTTTGAGAGGATGCGGTGGGCAGATCATGAGGTCAGGAGTTCAAGACTAGCCTGGCCAACATAGTGAAACCCAGCCTCTACTAAAAATACAAAAATTGGCCAGGCATGGTGTCAAGTGCCTGTGGTCCCAGCTACTCAGGAGGCTGAGGCAAGAGAATCGCTAGAACCCGGGAGATGGAGGTTGCAGTGAACCAAGATTGCGCCACTGCACTCCAGATTGAGCAACAAAGTGAGACTTCATCTAAAAAACACACACACACACACACACACACAATTTGTTGTCTCATGGTTTTGAAGGCTAAAATCTAGAAATCTGAGGTCCAAGTTCTTTGCAGGGTTCCTTCCAAGGGCAATGAAAAATCTGTTTCAGGCCTTTCTACTTGGGTAATTTAATGTGCCAACTTGGCAAGGTCATAGTACCCAGATATTTGGTCAAATACCACTTTAAATGTCACCGTGAATGTATTTTTTAGATGAGATTAACATTTAAATCAGTAGACTTGGAATAAAGCTGATTACCCTTCATGTGGGTAGGCCCTACCCAATCAGTCTTCAGTGAAAAAAGACAGGTCCCCTGAGGAAGAGGAAATTCTATCTCCAGACTGCCTCTGGACTGGAGCTGTGTCACGGCACCAGTTTGTCCTCACAATCCAGTCTGAACGTGTCCCCAAAGTTCATGTTTTGGAAACTGAATCCGCAATGCGAGTGTCGAGAGGGATTAAATCATGAGGGCTCTCCCCTCATGAATGGATTCATGCCATTACTGGGGGGAGCTGATTAGTTTCCAAGGTAGTGGGTTCCTGATAAAAGGACAAATTTGGCCTCCTTCCCCTCCCTCCCTCCTTCTTCACCCCCAACCACTCCCACCCCTCACATGCACATGCTCTTGCCCTTCTGCCTTGTGTTATTGCATGATGCAAGAGGGCCCTCACTAGGTGCTGAGCAGATGCTGCACCTTGCCCTTAGACTTCCCAGCCTCCAGAATCATAAGCCACATAAAGTTCTGTTCATTATAAATTATCCAGTGTCAGGTATTCTGTTATAGCACAAAACAGAGTAAGACAGGCTGTAATATCAATGTTCCCTGGTTTTTAGCCTGATGGCCTGCACTGCAAACTTCAGATTTGCCAACCCCTACATTCACAAACCAATTTTTAAAAATAAATCTCTCTAAACACACGCACACACAATTGGTTTTCTTTCTCTAGAGAACACTTAATAAACTTTGCTTTTGGTAATTCCTTGGCTTGTGTCAGCATTAAGTCCAATTTTCATAAGCCTTTCTCATCTTGTCTGTGTCCAAAGTTCCCCTTTAATTAAGGACACCAGCTATACTGGACTAGAGGCCACCCTAATGACTGTCATTACCTCAATAAAGACCCCATTTTCACATGAGGTCACATTCTGACGTACTGAGGCTTAAGACTTAAACGTATGAATTTGAAATGGGAGGCTACAATTCAACTCATAACAGCCAGTGTCACCTAATGTATATCTGCATTGCCTAAAAGGTGTTGACAATTCTCAAAGTAAAAATCACTTTTGTTTAGTTTTATCTGTGTTTGTGTAAATACAGTTTTTAGTGAGAGTGTGGATGCCAAAATGTCTACGGAGATGAGAAATCACCTTGCTGAAGCCATGTAAAAGTCTAGCTCAGGATTTAAAAGACAGACTGCCAACAAGCTTTAAATATCTTACCTTGATAGTACCTGGAGCCAGGTAAGAACATCTAGTTTTTAAATAACTTCACTATCTGAATTCACTTAGCAGGTTTAAACGGCAATAGACCATGGGTCAACTGAATTTAGAATCTGTTTTCCCCTTATTATGGCAAACTTCAAACTTGTACCAAAAAAGGTGAGAATAAATCACCTATATATCCAATACTCTATTTCAACAATTACCAGTTTGCGGCTGGATAGGGCCTAGGAGAGTTAAACCTTCCGTGCTATCACTGATTAGTCATGTATGCCTTGGATATTACTAACATATTCTTTTTCTGTTGTTTTGCAGCCTTAGAAATGTGTGAAAAAAGATTCTAAAAGTCTTTAAATGTCATTCATAAGCAATGTATTTATTAAAAGCCTGATAGCTCGAATGCTGCCTGATTAAGCGACTTACACAAAACAGACAGCAAAAGTACTAACAAAAGGTTACAATTATATTGAAAAATTCCTTGACTGGCATCAGACTGACTCTTCATTTTCTCAACTCCTGATTTCAAAAGAAAGCCTGCCTTTTGCAATTTCCTGAAATTTAAATTAGAGATTAGGCTGCTATGTCTTAAGAAAGCTTAGCTTCCTCCTGTCACTCACTTCTTCCTTGAGAGCGTGATCCCAATCTGAGGTTGCCAAAGGTTTCAAAATATATTTCTTATACTTGATTTGTGTGTTGCAACTAACTGCCCCAGTGTGGCCAGTGATGTGATTAATTTCCCTCTTTCCATCAGATTTTCCTAATATTCATATGTACTCAGAAGGCACTCAACCTTGCTTGTATTCCAACTGTGAGCAGTGGCAGCCTTTTTGCCTGGCTCCATGAACAAGGCAGCTACATATAGGCACTGAGAATGGTGCCCTTGCTGTTTTAGCCTTTCGGTTAATTCCAGTCCAGGTACTGATTTAAAATAACCCAGGAAGTTTTTCATTTCCAAAATATTCAAGAATAGTGCAGTTTTTCACTAAGTCCCCGAAGACAGGGAAGGTAGGGTGAACTTTGGTTCACTGGGGACTCTGATGCAGGCTGCGAACAGCGACTCCTCTGTGAGATGTGCAGGGGCAACTTTTCTCACCAGAGATTTCTGACTATTCTCCATACTTCAGCAAGACTTTCAAAGTGCAAAGTGGAAATGGTCAGATTATCAGTAAAGGAAGAAGGGGAAGCAGAAAGCAACGTGGTATTCAGTGGCTAATGTCAGGCCTCCATGTGCAAGTCCATACCCAGAAAGTCTAAAATCCTGCCGGCCTCGGCTGATCACCCCTCAGTGCCTGCATTTGCCATTATCCCTGATCGCCCTGCAGAGCTTCCCCATACATAAGCTTCCCCTCACCCCACCCTGCCATCTTAACTCTTATTATGATAATGTGAATACTCCTCACCCAACCCTGACATCTTAAACTACTATTACGCCTTCCGCCATCCACCACTGTAACTGAACTTATGGTAATGTATACTCCTTGCCCCAAATCCCACCATTGTAACTGATCTTACTCTGTAACTTTCCACTGCTCATCCCAAACCTATAAAAAGAACTCCTATCCACTGCCCTTTGCTAACGCCCTTTTCGGCCTTAGCCCACCTGCACCCAGGTGAATAAACAGCCATGTTGCTCACACAAAGCCTGTTTGGAGGGTCTCGTCATTCAAAGCGCGCATTTTTAACAGCTAACACAGAGCATATAAACAAATTGAGGTGTATGCATCTTCATTAACTCCTTTCCCAATCTTTTCCAGCAAAAGTAAATGTGAGGGAAGCACACTGATATTAATACTAACGCGTTTTCAGCAGCCTCAGAGCACTAGCATTTAATGTTGAATATCACACAGAATCCCAGCCACCAAAAATGTCTGTATTTTGGAGGTTCCTCACCTCCAGCTCTGGGGCAGGGCACATCAGAAAAACTCAGATTTGTCCACGGAACACAACTGCTTCTGGTCTACTCTGGGGGTGGCTGTGTATGTCCATAGTCCCTGGCACAGTCAGGTGAGAGAGAACATCAACAATGTAGACAAGAGGGAGTCCCATCTTCCTGCTCCTTGGTTTCTGGAAATGCACTCCTCTCATCCCGCAAAGTCTCTGGGAAAGCTGTTCTACCTTTTAACAGACAGAATCCTAACAGGGTGTCTGGTGACCCCCTTTGTGGAGAAAGAGAGCTAGAGTGGGGAAGTGGCTATTCCCCCGCGGCCACCCTCCCACTCCCATTCCTCAGAGAAGTACCGTTGGGACCCGGGCCAGCCTCGCGCAACCAAGAGCTTTTCCGGCTCCAGGACCCGTAGCGGCACCCAATCATGCTTGCGGCAAGAGGGGCAGTTCCTGCCCCTTCAGGCATACCACGCCCCGCTGCTGACCACGCTCCTCACTGTCTCCCGCCCTTACCCGAACGATTTGCCCGAGCCACAACCTCTTTGTTCTCTCCTGGGACCCAAGGCTCCTGCACGCGGCCATCTTGGCCACGCCCCCTCACGTTTAGCCACGTCCCTTACGCAGCAAACGCCATTTCGTCATTCCAGGCCACGCCCCTTTCAGTTCCGCTTCCGTCCCCGACCCAGGTTCAAATCTCGCTCTGGCCACGCTTCCCCAGCGCCGGAGCCCAGACCTGCTCTCCGTTCTGGCTACATATCTCCTGTCTGCCACGCACCTGCATCGTAACTTGCCCACTCCTCTGCCCTCCGCCTGCTCCACCATCTTTGTTACGCCCCTCAGAGCAACAAGGCACGCCCACACGTAAGGACCGCGCCCCCACGTTCGAGGCACGTCTTTGCGTTCCGCTTACGTCATACCCGTATTTTCCTTTTCGCGCTACGTCCCCTCCCGGTCACTGTTCCGCGACCCGCCTCTCCAACTGTGGCCACTCTTGCACGCTTCGCCTCTGAGTGCAGTTCGTTTCACATACCAGTGATCGCCTACCCCCATCTCCCTCCCTTGGGCCTACGTCCCTACTCTCCTCCGCCTGAGGCCGCCCCTCCCGCGGATTCGACCATCTTTATTACACCCTTGAGACTACGTTACGCCCTTCACGTCAGGGCTAAGGTCCACTCGTTCAGGTCACGCCCCTGCGGTACGCCTGGGCCACGCCACTTCCGCTAAGCTTTGCAGCCTGCACTCCTTACTGGCGGAGCCATTCCCGCTTTGGCTAAGCTTTTCCTTTCTCTCTGAATAGGCCAGACCCCTCTTGTTCGCGTCACTTCCCTTCCTGCAGTCCACACCCCTCCTTTTGGCCAGTCCTGGCCGTCCTCCCGGGCTACAGGCGACGATCCTACGGTCCTCATTGGACACGCTCATCCGGCGCATGCGCGTTTGCCTTACTCTCCGGCCACGCCTTGGGTTCCCAGGCCACCCACTTTTGGTTCCACTTTCTTGGTCAAGCCTTTCCGGCCAGTTCTACGCCCTCTGCGCTCCTTTTAGGTGCGAGACTTGATTCCGGGAAACCGCGGAGGAATTGGAGGGGCCCACCGGTCTCCGGAGATAATTGTCCAGGTGCTGGAACCAGATGTCCGCGGCATTTATAGTGAAATGAGCCTGCGGACTTCTGATCCTCTCCTATAAAGTGACTTTGTTTATGTATCTCCCAACTCTGAACACCAGAACTCGTTAAGCAAAAACTGAGTAGGAAGCAATTGGTGGAGTACCCTTGCTAGGGTGTTCCTTCTAGCTAGGTTTCATGTCCTTTAACCCCACTTGGAGATAACTGGAACCGTGTTCCTTCCAGCCCTTCAGCGGACTATAAATGCTAGGGCGATGCTTGGAGTAAGCACACGCCTCTACTTCCTGATGTGTCCTCTGATGACTTTTCCTAGACACCTGGTGCCCTAATGCTCTAGGTCCTGTCGAGACACCACCACATTCAGACCTCTGCTTGCAGTCCCGTGCTCCAAGGTTACTCTTTTTTACTCCCTCCATTCGCAATTCTGGGTTCACAGGAAAAAAGTGAGGAGGTTATTACTAGCTTTTCTTTTCTGTCCAGAAATTTCTGAATGGACAGTCTTGGAGAATGGTCACTTTACATTAGCCATTCGTTTATTCATAACAGATTTATCAAGTACTATGTTCCGTTAAGAAATAAGACAAGACTCAAAGACATTACAGACTGAGGTTCCCTCACTCAGGTTTGGATGGCACAAGAATTGAGAAAGTTAAAGATGGTGTAATAAAGGAGTTGATAGGTGTAATAGGACTTGGTAAGTGCTGGTTTGTTGTTCTAATTAGCAAGAGAATTTGGGGGCAGCAAGCATAGGAAGTCACTTTCATAGTGCTTACTACAGCTCCCTTCACAATAAATTCTCAATCTTCATTTAAAGTATTCCCTTTTCACTTGTTTGGAGGACTACAGTTTTTCCCTCCATGGCAGTAAGATTTACTATATATACTTCTACATATGCCAACAATCAAGATTTTATGATCACACATAAAGTGTAAAAGTTCCCTTCTCTTCCCACCTTCCATCCGTTTCCGCTTTGAAGACAGTGGGAACTTTCACAATATTGAGCTAGAAGGAGCACAGAGTAAAAGATAATTTTCAACAAAATATTTTTTATTAAGCTTACCTTGGCTCTTATAACCCTTATCTCGTTTGTATAAAATGTTTCCAATGCCAATCATTTTTTGCATGAAAAAATAAACAGGAAATAGGACCAAATGCAGCCTGTGTAACGTACTGCATTGATTTTTACACCATTATTTATACTTTACCTTTTCTCCCAGATGATTTGAGGCAGCACACCAAAACTGCCCTCAAAACGGGTGACTGTGAACTTTATCAGCTCTTGCTACTGTGCTGCTTGAAAAGCATCTTCCCATAGAACCCACTGGAAGCTGCCAGAAGGTGGCAGTAACCCTGACAGCTCTGTCACTGCTATGTGACTTAAAGCATCCTCCTATAAATCTTCTTAGAAGTAGTTTGACCATAGATAGAAGTATTGCACACTGCGCACAGCCCACCTTCAAACCTAGGTGACCTAATGGGGGTGGACCCCTTACTGCGCACGGCCCTTGCCTTCTTGGGAACCGGCCCCTTGCTGCGCACTGTCCACCTCCTGACCTAGGTGACCTAATGGGGGTGGACCCCATGTTTTATTGCTCATGACCCTATCACTGTCCTTAAAGATGACGTCACTCACTGCCCTGCCCACTAACCTATACACAATAAATACTGATGCTTCTGGACATTTGGGGCCTCGCCTGACTCTGCTTATAGGTGGTGTGCCACCCCCCCTCCGAGCCCAGCTGTGTTTTTCTTGTACTTCAGTGTCCTGTCTTTTTATTTCTCAGATCCTGCGCCTCAGCACAGCATAAGACTCACCCCACGACCCTGTGGGTCCATCAGCCCTACATCTGGCTCCCAATGTACCCTACAGGCAACAATCTTGCATGTTCTTCATATGTACCCCAAAACCTAAAATGCAGTTAAAAAAATTTTGTCAGAAATTAAAAAAAAATAAGGGTCATAAGTTGTTACACCCACATTCCCTCAATGGAAACTGTTGACATAATCACAAAGTACAGGGCACTGAATCAATTTCATGAATCATCCAAAATGTCCTATTCAACTGAGTACCCAGCCCCACAATGGTCTAGTTTAATTCAGGATAGCATTTAGGTGATCTTTTCCCATAATGGCATGTAAGTTTCAACTCACATGTCAACTCCAATTTTATTCATATTAGCTGACCGAATAGCTCATTTGGGAAGTTTTGTGGCTGAGTCCATGCACAGAAGGAAAAAGTTCCGTAATAGATAAAAAATATTTGTCATGGGTGCGGGATGAGCAAATGGCTGCAAACAATAACCTGTCATCTCTGATTTGTAGTAATAGGGATCTCTTGAGCACATCTTTTAGGCAGTCCACAAAAACATTTCTCCTAAGACTTTTGATAAATTTCAGGCATAGAGGGTTCAAGGTCATCACTGGCCAAAACCTAGGAGCAGAAATTCTGAGATATTGATTAATTCATATGTCTTTAGTATTGATGAGAGCATATAACCTAAAAGTTATGTGGTCTGATCCCATCCCCCCAACCTTTATAGAGGTTTGCAAAAGGAGTACCTATTGTCGGGGCTAAATATGACTGGGTGACCTACAATTGGCAGACAAATCGATGATTAAGGATGGAAAATACGATTTCATAGAGCACGGCCGCAATACTTTTAGCCTAGTAAAACAGAAAATTGATGTGCCAAATCATGAGAAAGCTCTTACACCCTAGCAACAGTGGAACCAGCTAAACCTCTGAAAGAAAGGTCTTGCTTTTACTACACGAGACCCATTATAAAATATTGCTCTCCATGCACAAGGTGAGACACACAGACACACATACATCCGATTTAAGAAACTATCCTTTAAATTCCCACGTTAGGAGATAAAGTTGGCAGAATTATATGAACTCCGTTGGTCTGAATTAATTTTTATTTCCCGGCAGTAGTGATTAACTTTTTCTGAAGTAGAAAAATGTTAACTTGTGAAGAATAAGACAAAGTTCATGATGATTATGGCTACTGATTAACCTACAAAATTTGATGAGCTTTTCAAATATCCTTGCTTAATATGATTTCTCATCTTAAAAAGGGGATACGATATGGGATGGAGACAAAAATATTCCACATTACAGAGTTCCTTGCGTACCAAGGATACTGGAAATTTGTGTGTGTGTGTGCGTGTGTTTGTGTGTGTACGCATAAAATTAAGCATTGTAACATCATCCATTCTATATTCCAAAATTATTAAAATAAGCTCATTTCTCTTTTTATTAAGATGGCTAATGAGAATTAATTTCCTGGTTTTTGTAGCCATGGGCACATAGTGGGCTGCGAGTCCAAAGACCTATGATTAGTAAATAAAGAGAAACTCACCATCAGGGAATGTCCTTCCCATCTCCCATTCTCCTTCTCCATGTCATTTACAAAGAAGCTATTCCCACACTGAAATTTTCATTAGCCTCTCAGGACCATTGTCAGAGAATCCAAACTTACTCTCCTCTAAGATCAGAATCCAACTTGGCTTCTCAGATGCATCTACACTGATGCTCCCTCCCCTATCTTCCTCTGAACCACTCTAACCAGCATGTCCCTGCTGTTGGCCATATCCTGTATCTGTCCTTTGTGTTTCTTTTCAGACTTCCTTAATTTGGATCCTGTGGACTTTCATGTTTTACCTTTAAACATCTTGCCATAGTTCCAGGTCTATCTTGATTATCATTGAGAAATCTTCCTTTTATTTTTCTTTTGTTAAGTTTTATAATTGACTTGTCAAATCCAGTAACTTTTCATCCTCTCTTTCTCCAGTGTTCCTATAGCATTTTGTTCACAATTGTACGTACATCTATTGCCATCATGGTTTACTTTTGTGTCCTACCAAATTGTAAGTTCCTGAAAGAGAGAGACTATATTTGATTCAGTTTTGCATTTCTCATAGCCCATGAATGTGATAGTTTAAGAAAACCGAGTTGACTAATTTGAATCATAAACTGAAGTTCTAATAAGCTTGTGACTGGAAATTAAGTACCATGAAATTCATTGCAATATATATGTTTTTTACATTCTTAGCCTTGGAAAAACCACACACACACACACACACACACACACACACACACACACACTTGTCTCCCTTTTTTCTTCTGTTCTTCCTTGTGTGAGTCATTTCCATTAATTCAACTACAAGAAGAAAAGAGTTACCTAAATGATATGTTTAAAGTTTGTGGGGAAGTTTTGCAGCATCCCTGGCCTCTACCCACTAGATGCCAGTAGAAATCCTCTCTTCTGCCATTCATCTAAAAATGTCTCCAGACATTGCCAAGTGTCTCTAGAGCATAAAATCACCCCCAACCAAAAACCACTGAGTTAAAATAGAACTTATGCACAATAGACAAAAAATACCTTGTCTCTCCATGCATCTTAACACTGACAATTTAAAGAGAACACAATTATTTTTGTTACCTAATTATACTGAAAACACTAAAAATTAATAATATAAACATATTGATATTGTTTATTATATACATATGGTATATCAATTTCATTATAATTGAAAAACAGGATCTCATTTGTTAAAATTCTACAACATTTAGAAAATCATTGAGTAGAGCCATTTCATTAAGATATTAAAAAGTCCAAAGTATGTGTGTGTTTTGTTTTTTGTTTCTGGTTTTTCTTTCTGAGATAGAGTCCTGTTCTGTCACCCAGACTGGAATGTGGTGGCACAGTCATG